CTGCATGAGAGAGGTCCAAAAAGTCGACATGAAACGAGTGTCGCGGTCGCTGACTATGTCCTCGGGTACGCCGTGGCCACAAATCCAACCGGTGWGCAAGAGGCGTGCCARCTCGGRAGYCGTGGAGTAGTACTTGCAAGGAAGAAAACGTGCGTACTTGCTCAATTGGTCCACAACCGTGAGGATGCCGTCGTGCCCGAGCCGGTCTCGAGGAAACGGACCGGTGACATCCATAGCAATGAAGATACCGGGTTCCCGGGGGATAGGCATCGGGCGTAACTCGCCATAGGGATTGCGGTTGAGGGGTTTGCTGCGTCGGCAAACTTCGCAAGAATCGCAATACCGCATGATATCGGAAATAAGGTCGAGCCATCGGAATCGTTGTCGAAGCCGTGCAATCGTGCGATTGACTCCGAAATGGCCGGCGAGTCGCGAATCATGATACTCACCGAGAATGCGAGTCCGAAGACGGCGGTCGCGTGGGACACACACTATCTCCTTGCCTCTTGAGTGGAGGAGCAAGTACCCGTCGGCAATGCGATATTTGCTGGCCGGCGGGTGATCCGAAGATAGCTGCGCATACAACGTAGCAAACTCTGGGTCAGACTGATAGCCCCTGATAAAGTATCGCTGGAGGTCCTCGTCGAACGTGAAGGCGTGATGCGTCATAGCGCAAAGATCAGGTCGTCGCGAAAGTGCATCTGCTGCGCGATTGGAGAGGCCGTCCACGTGTTTAAGTGTGAAGTCAAACAGGTCGATGAAGTACATCCACCGTCCAATCGTGCTACTCACCGTGTCCTGCATCTTGTAGTAGGTCAATGAGTTATTGTCCGTGACCCATGTGAACCTACGACACCCAAGAAGGAAGTGCCGCCATCGCTTGAGAGCCATGACGAACGCAAGCARCTCCTTCTTCCTTGCATCATCCAGAGAATTGATGGGAGRCACTTTGTGGCTGAAATACTCCACAGGGTGCCAATCCTCGCCGTCGTGCTGCTCCAAGACTGCCCCAAYGTCGTAACCGGAAGCGTCAGTCGTCACTCTCGTAGGCAGAGTGGGGTCCTAGATGCTAAGGACGGGTGCCATGAGCATGGCCGTCTTGAGTGCTTGGAAAGCCTGGCKCGCGTCGTCATCGAATACGAATGGCACCTTTGGCGATTGTAGTCTCGTCAGAGGTGCGGCAATCCTTGAGTATCCGGTGATGAAACGCTGATAATAGCCTGCCCACCCCATGAATGAACGAATGTCCGTGGTGTTGGTGGGCTCGGCCCATACGCGGATGGCCTCGATCTTGTCCGCAAGCGGACGGATGCCTTGCGGCGTCACATAGTGTCCCGAGGACTCCAGCTCTTTAGCGCGAATTCGCATTTATCGCGGTTTGCTTTGTACTTGGCCTGTCGTAGCCGTTCCAGAACGGTGCGTAGGTGCTCCACATGCTCGTCCAAACTCCGACTATACACCAAGATGTCGTCGAGGTAGATGAGTACGAAACGATCCCGCATGTGTCGAAACTCCAATGTCATAGCCGCCTGGAATGTGGCTGGGGCATTCGTAAGGCCAAACGGCATGACCAACCATTCGAAATGCCCATATCGCGTTTTAAACGCGGTCTTCTATCGGTCCTCCGGGCGAATCTCAAGTTGCTGATAACCGGACTTGAGGTCAAACTTGGAGAAGAACTTCGCGCCGCCCAGTCGCTCCAGGAGATCGTCGATGCATGGGAGAGGGCCSGCGTTCTTGACCGTCTGCGCGTTGAGCTTACGATAGTCGATGCACAACCGCAAATCCTTGTTCTTCTTCCGGACGAAGAGAACAGGCGCACCGTATGGCGAAGAGCTAGGTCGAATCCAGCCTTTCTCCAGAAGGTCGTCGAGTTGTGCCCGTAGCACACTTAACTCTTTCTCGCTCATTCGGTACATGCAACCACGCGGAGGTACAGCCCCGTCCTCGAGGATGATCTCGTGGCGGATGGGCCGATCCGGTACTACTCCGTGCGGGGCCTCGAACACGTCACTATAAGTGGCGAGAAGCTCAGTGATGCCTGGGTCCGATGATGCGTCCGTGAATGGGGTGTCCTGGGGCGGGAGGGCGTGGAGAAAACACACCCCCATCTCCTCAATGTCATCCTTGATGATGAAACCTCGAATACTTGCGGCGGGCGCCACGTGACAGCTGATCGAAGGGTGAGGAGGAGGCACCGTGCATGGGACTAGTACTCCATCCCGGTCACGAACGTGAACGGTGCGGCGGTAGAAGCTCACCGGGTGGTCCTCACTTCGCAGCCATGACATGCCCAAAATCATGTCGAGCTTAGTGTCCAGAATGTCGAAGGACACAGCCTCGCGTGCATGCGGGGCGAAATACACAGGGACGTTGTCAATGCACCGGTCAATTAACTTGTGCGTGTGACCATCGGCCAACGTCACGTGTGCCGGATGGGACTTCCTCCTGACGCGTGGGCCAAGGCCGACGCGTACCATGAAGTCCTGACTCATGTAGTTGCGAGTTGCACCGCAATCGATCAAGGCGCTGCAGGTCGCCTCTCCGATCTGAATGCGTACATACAACAATGGTGCGTCAATGTCGTCATACCGTTGTGTCTTGAACTCGTGGTCGATCTTCGCGATGTACTCCTGAAGGTCGACAACCTCTACTCCGGCGTCCATCAACGGAGTTGGTACTGCAGTGTGCAAATACTCCCGCAATTGTGCCATGAGCACATTGTAATGCGGTTTCGACAATCGACCGGTTGGGGGAATGGGCATCCACTGGAGATCCGCGACTGTCAACGGGTCGAGCTCTTCAAGTCTTGACCACATCGACGAATCCCCTGAGGTAAATGATGGCGGAACTGCCGAATCGTTTGCCAATGGAGATGAAACCGTGCATGCGGTGGAGTGTTGCACGTGGAGTAGTTGGTCCAGCGGTGGGACCAAGTGGACAGCATAGTCCTCGTAAGTGACACGAGAACTTGCGACATTCGCATCCTCCCCAGATGTGTAGGAGGCCGCTAGCAAGGCGGACGGATCTGGCGGAGTGGGAGGTGGAGTCGCCTCACCTCCCGCGCTACTCAGTTTCCCGAGTTGTTGCGAGGCCGAACATCCTGCTTCTCCTTGTCCTGGCAGAGGGAGGTCTTGTGCTTGGTGCTATTGCACCAGTAGTAGCAGCCGTACCGACCACGGTACTTGTATTCGGCCTCGGTCAAGTTAAACTTGACCCATGGCGCTGGCTGTCGTGTTCCAGCCGATGATGCGGTCCTCGCCTTTCCATTGTTCCGGGACTTGTTGGTGCTTCTCGGATGGACAGCAGCCACCTGATCTCCTTCACTTGATGCCTTGGTGGCTGCCGGGTCGTCTCCACTGTCCGATTGGACTGCAGCGAAATGCTGCTGCCGCGGACCAGTCTTTACTTTCTCCACATAGGTTGGCTGCCATGCTGATTTCTCGTGTGCAGCCGCCCTATTAGTCTTGATGATCTCCCTTGCTTTGTCGATGATCGCAGCGAAGGTTGAGTACTGCTCGCGATCACCAAGTATCTGGCTCAGTGCAGCACATGACCTATTGTAGAGCTCTCGGCGCAGATGCGTAAATGGCAAGTCCAAATCCGGCGTTGCCGCGATCTTTTGCCATTCCGTGAGCCAGTCTCGTGTTGCAGTGTTGCCTTGGGTCATGGTGAAGAGGCGGTTGATGGCGAGGGCAGGCGCGTCGTCGACGATGAACCTCTTCTTCCACAACCGTGTCAACTCCTCCCATGTGATCTTGTCTCGAAGATCTACCACGTCGACGCCGTGAGTGGCTGCCAGATGGGTCAACCAAGTCTGGCATGCGCCCTTTGAGTTAAGAAAAAGGGCACCGATGTATGCGTGCTTTGCGACTGGTAGGATCCGAAGCTGCGTCGTGAATGCTTCCCACCAGAGAACCCGATCCTGATGCGTGTAGTCGTCGAACTTCTCGAGTTGGAAGGTTAGCATCTTGTACAACTTAGGATTGCCCTCCGAGTTCGTCGACTGCAGCTTCTGGACCTCGGTCTTCAAGGTGTGCAGCTGACTGCTGATGGTGGTAGGTGCAGCGAAAGCACTGATGTCGCCGAGCATCGCCACTACGTGGTCAATGCGTTCCTCCAGTTGGCGGCTAGAGGGTTCACTGCTGGACGTACCAGCATCTGGTCCTGGTACAAACTGTTCCAGGTCCAATACACGGGCATTGAGTGCCTGTGTTGCATCCTCGTGGCCCTGCACTATTCGGCGGAGGTCTGCCAACTCTTGGTGTTGTTTCTCTAGTTTGGCCGGTTGGTAGTTGCAAGTATACAACAGGCGTGACACGAGCTTGGAGAGAAACTCCTTGTGTTGCTCTTCCAGTGTCGGCTCGTCGCCGTTTGGTTCAAAGTGCCAGTACTTGAGCCTTTCGATGTTGGCTGCTTCATGGCGCTGCAGCAGCTCTTGGGCTTCCTTTCGGCGTGCCCTGGTGTGTGCCTCGACTTCGGCCTGAAGCCGCTGCCTTTCAGCTGCCGCTGCCACCTCAGCCTGTAGGCGGGCAGCCTCGGCTGCCGCCTGGCGCTGTTCCTCGGCCTGAATGAGCGCGAGCTGAGCCTGGACCCGCTGTCGGTACTCGGTGATAGACTCGTTGGCCAGTTGGCCTAGTAAGCCCAGCGCTGGTCCCGTCATGGTTGCTGACCTGGCACTGCTGACGTGCACTGCTGACGTGGCACTGCTGACGTGGCACTGTAAACAACCCGAAATGCAGACAAGGGGGTGGGTGGGAGGGAAAACGCAGGTAGGGATACCAACCCAACAATACTGTCCTCCGGCCCTGATCAACAGATAAAATAAAAAAATAAAAAAATAAAATAAAAGAGGACTAATTCCTTTTTTTATTTTTATTTTTTTTATATATATATTTGTCGATCTTTACGAGTAAGGTATGTCAGAAGAGTACTATGAACGAGGTCTAGGCTAAGTTCGCAAAGTTCCGGCTTTTACACAATGCAGTCTCAGAGTTTTGACGAAGTCCTACCTGATTTACTAATCAAAAGATCAATAGATCGCGCAGGCTAACTCTTGATTGAGCGGTTCCTCTGAATGAGAGGTCCGTTCCGATACCAAACTATTGCATACTAGATCATGCAAAACAGAACAAGGACCGACCTTTGATTTCAAAGTACAAGATGGCGAGCGGAAGACTTATCAATGATCCGACTCAATCAATGTTGCAGTACAGTCCCGACATTTATCATCATCATACAGTGGTGTGAAGGGCTGGCGCTCACACAGAATAGATAGCGCCAGACCCCAACATACACAGACGAAGGGGGAAGGAAAGAGAGACAGAGGGAGAGGAGAAGATGGGAGATATCGTCAACTCCAAGTCTGCGTCACAGGTCCCAAATAATCCTCAACGAATGTCTGTATCCCGGAATCAAGTCTGATGACAATGTCGTCATGTCCCGTGTCAAAGCTCCATCTCGTAGCCCATAGATGCTGAGAGGCAGGCAGCGGGAGGGGAAGAAGAGATGGTGGACTTAAAAGAGGAAGAAGAAGGTCTCTCTCTCTCTCTCAGTCCAATACTAACCTGTAAAACAGGCGTCTTGATGCAGGTACACCGAGGATGGAACTGGAGCGATGGTGCCACAGGTAAGTACAACTGGCCTCCGTCAGTGTCTCTCTCCGATATTGCTACCTGCTCTATAGCGCCCAGCGCTGAAGACGACCACTATGGCTATGGCGCCCAGCGCCGAAGACTACTCCTAGCGCTACCACTACTGCCTAGCGCTGAAGACTACTGCAGCGCTCCTCCTGAGTGCTGCAACCGGAATCCTGAAGACTACAAGTGCCTACTGACCACTTCCTCCTGCAGGGCGGGCCAGTCCTTTATAGTGCTGGCCCGTGCAGGAGGCTGGCCGTGCCAATGCCTCCCTGGCCTAGACCCTGCGGATGCTTCCAGGCAAGAGCCTGGAAGTTCCCTGAAGTTTTCCTATAGGGAAATAGTCTAGGGCCTGTAGGCCCTGTCAGAAGGAAGCTTCCAGGCAAGAGTCTGGAAGTTTCCTTGTAGGGAAACAGGCTGAGGCCTGTAGGCCCTGTCAGAAGGAAGCTTCCAGGCATAAGCCTGGAAGTTTCCCTGTAGGGAAACAGGCTGGGGTCTGTAGGCCCTGTCAGAAGGAAGCTTCCAGGCAAGAGCCTGGAAATTCCCTGTAGGGAAACAGGCTGGGGCCTGTAGGCCCTGTCAGAAGGAAGCTTCCAGGCAAGAGCCTGGAAGTTTCCCTGTAGGGAAACAGGCTGGCGGTCCGGGACGGGCCCTGCAGGGCCTGTGTGGCTGCACAGTATGCCACACCGATGCTGCTTGATTTCTGAAAGTTTGCAATTGCACTTTTTCTTACATTTTTCATTATTATTATTTTATTATTATTATTATTATTATTATTATTATTACTATTATTTGTTTCATGATCAGACTCGCTCACTTCGTTGCGCATGCCTACAAACTGATGGTGGAGCACACTGGCGACAGTGGCCAACTCGAAGCTCGAAGATACGGAAACCAAGACACCCTTCAGATGCAAGCTCACTTCAACAGGTCGTGGTGCATCAGCACCCACGCATTACAACTCTTATCCCTGTGTCTAGCACCACTGTGCACATTCATTCAACTCGGGACCACCCATGAATACCCCAAGCACACATTCTACACGCACACACACTCAAGCATAGATAGAACGACAGACGCAGACAGATGAGAACAAAATGGTCAGACATGAGGGTACGGATGTGGATAGATAAACAAGAAGAAGGCATAAAAGAACATTCATACAGGGACCAACAGATAGAGCCTGATGCGTACGCGGGACACACATAGGCTTTAGGCAGGCGGGTTGCAGATAACCATGGCCGGGCTTCCCAGCCTGTAACTAGATAGGTTGCACAAGTGATCCGAGGGTGCAGGCGGCATCTATGTGCTGAGAAACGAGGTTGTGAGTGTAACAAGAGACATACCTGATGCTGGAAGCGTGCGGCATTGGCCGCTGAATAATCGTACTTCGGAGGGTTGTTGTCATCATCATCCGACATGTTGGCCTTGGCTAGAACGGATCCGCCATCTGTAGTCTGGGCGCTCAATGCCAGGTAGGATAGCAACATTGGTTCTTCACTAATGATGATGGCGATTAGACCTTACCGGCATTGTCAAATTATGAGCTCCAGGTGCCTACTTATCTGATGAAACCCTTGATGCAACTCTGCTGGTGGTTCGAGGTCACGACTATCTGGTCTTGTGAATATAACGTTGTTTGATTCCTAAACTTCGCTGAAAAGAGTCTATTATTATTTGATTATTCATATTAAATTGTTGTTATTTTATAGGCACACCCATTCTCTTTCATACATATAAACAGGCGGCGCAGCAAACCGGCGACGAGTGCGCCCTCAGATCTCTGATAGGTGGCAACCGAGAACAAAGTTCTGATCCAAGTTCACTACTAATGACCATGACAATTCAGCGCCTACGCAACTCCCTCTATTCTCATACGCAGGGTCAACCTGTTATCACACATGCACTGAGCAATACCTACATTTATAACGGCTATAGCAGCAAAACCGCCACTTACAAATATGGCTATGCTACCGCCTCACCCACTTCAGCTCTGGACTCTCTGCACACTTCCGTGCGCAAGTCGTTGTGGCAGCACTTCCGCATGGCTCACGCAGGATTAAATGACTGGTTGGGCGATGTTTCTTGATTTGTACTTTTGTAGCTCGTTGGTCTGACCCCTTTTTCCATGCCAGTAGTACACGCGGTTCCATGCGGTACTTGCCTGGCCGAACTAGGACTGACTGAGACAAGGACTGTTGACTTAGTACGGGTAAATTTACCACTCGCCTGCTTGTATGAGATCTGCTGTGAGCAATGCTTAACGGGCCACTCCCGGATCTTCTGGAAGTCTGAAACTTGGGCCCATCAACACTGTAGCAGCTACAACCTTGACCTTCCGGGACTGTAGCAGCTATGCCTGACCTTTTTTTTAAGACTGAAGCGGCTATAACCTTGTCCCCACCGGGCGGACCCACGGTCCGAGACCCGACAGCCACATTGAAATGTGATGAACTAACAAACGATACAAGGGACAGACTCAGATTGTCTCAGACAGACTAAGACAGTCTGTGACCGACACGGACAACCTTCGACAGACACAGACAGAGACACACTTATAAGGACAGACAATCAAACAAATAGGGGAAGAAAGGCAGACGGCTAAAGAGAGAGAGAGAGGGAGAATGGGGGCCTTACCGGGTAGCGGGTGACTGTTTTCGCAGCAGTTGTACGGCTATTTCCTTGAGGTACAGCATTTACCTTGATTGCATCACGACTATTTATTTAATATAACTATTTGATTTATTATTATTATTATTATTATTATTATTATTATTATTATTATTGTCATTAATGTTATTACTTCAATAATCGGTGGCCCCGCAAGTCTCGTGTCCGCCCTAAGTGAAGGTGGGGCCGAATATCCACGATAGGGGCCTTATCATGACACGCTCCGACGCGGGCCTCAAGCAGTTGCTGCTGCCTAGATGACTGAAGTGTGGCAGTGTCACCACATCCACATGTGAGCATTGAGCGATGTGGATCACAGCCGGTTGCGGAACGCTGATAGGCTATGACCAAGCGTGTAGAGTTGCAACCATGCACTCACAGGGCTTGCAAACATACGTGCGGAACAACAAGCTTGCGCCCGCATGGCCTGTGGGCAGGACGACAGTCACAATGCACACACACATAACCTTAGAGACACTTATGCAGGACAAACGAGCAGGTTKCTATGCCCWGARCAGCATAGCGATAGCAAAAAGGGAGGATGCGAAAAGTCTTAAACGAGTGATGCATAAATAAGACATCTTCACCCGCCTTGTTCCTTGGAAGATTAATCGGAACATTGTTGGCAAGATGCTTGACTTTCTATTATTATTATTATTATTATTGTTATTATTATTATTATTATTATTTATGTTATAATTGTTAGTATTATTGTGGCTATTATTATTATTATTATCATCAATATTGTTATTTTTAGTTATTTTACCATTGCTATTTTTGAGACATCACGATTGGAGCAGGGGCCGAAGAGTGAAGAAAGCATGGGGCATTTGGGGAAGAGGGACGCGGTGCCACGATGTGATGATGCGTGCCTCCTCCATCATTCTCCATCTCTGCCATGGCTGGACCCTCTGAAAATATCCATCTCTTTGAATATGATTGGTTGATGATAAGTTTCACTTACATAATACTAGTCCCTACTGGCTCTAAGTACTCGCAATCAGATGCGTTGACCATACATCTCTGAATACAGGGCGATTGCGGAGTTCAAGAGGAACTCTGGAGGCAGGGAACTATGAGGTACGCATCACCATCCCTTTCCCATATACCCTTACAGACTACGCCCTTCTATTAGACTGCATGTATGGTTGTGTGATATACCGCAAATGTTTTCTTCAAGACTAAGGAAATCGAAAGGGAAAAGAGTATGATTGGAATAAGAATCCTGCATGGTGAAATGGAAAGAACCTAAATTAACTAAGAAGGAACCTAAAACTGTTTGGACGTGGAAAACAAAGTAGCGCGATGGAAACTCATGTGTGAGTCGTCGTGCTACTTGTGTGTGCACTCTGACTTGACTAAGGATTGACAATTAGGTACTCTTGTGTGACTCACTTTGCTCTCTGCCGGTCCGACTGTCGTCGTGAGAAGAAGGGGGCTTTAACAAAAACCTAGGAACTAAACTTAGTACTCTCTACCTGATTGGTTGTCGTCGTGATGGGACGAGGGTACAAACAAAGCACTTATAAACTAATCTTAGTACTCTCTACCGGACCGGCTTTCATCGAGATGGGACGAGGGTACAAACCAAATACTATAAACTAATTTAAGTTCTCTATACCTGAGCGTCGTCGT